GAATTCTGGGAGTGGAAGCTGGACTGCTTTGGCCATGCCAAGTTACTCCCTGGCTGTGTGGGTGGGAGGCTGCTCCTGGCCCTGGCAGTCTCTGGTACTAAACCTCCCCCCCCCTGCATAGTGGTTTTAGGGTGTTACCCAGCCATTTTTCCCCAACACTTTGGGCATTGATCCTGCTGGGGATGTTTGTGGGGTTCTCGTGACATACTGAGGCAGGTGATTTGCTCTCCCACCTGCCTATGAGGGATGTGGAGAGGCTTTAGGAAGAGTAAAATCTAGGGTGTGGGCTGAGTAGCCCTGAGGAGAGGAGCCCTTAGAGCAGCCACTTCTATACCTGGGTTTAAGCTGAATAAGATAAAGATCTTGTTACACTTCTGTGAATTTTTTTTTTCTTTTAACCCCAGCAAGGGGATGAGAGTGCAGGTTGGGAAAAGCTGTGGCTCCTGCTCCTGTTCAGTGGCTCTGTCTCTGTGATCTGCTGAGTCCTTGGCATCTCCTGGAGATGCCTGCAGGAGTCTTGGATCCATGCTCTCCACAACAGCGCTAGCATTATAACCTTGAGCAAATGACTCAACTTCCCTGAAACTCATTTTCACTCCTCTTGACAAGGAGGATAATTGCACCAAACTATCTGGCAGAGAGGCCTATAAGGCTAAATGCCGTGATGGCAACCCGTGTTCAAGATGGTCTGTAGAGTTCAAAAGTAGCACAGAGCATCTCTGCAGATCCTCTTAAGCTTGTACTCTACCAGTCTCTAGCTTTCTCAGTCCCTAAGGAGGCATTTTGGGTTGGCACATCACCTCTGTATTAGCAAACTGCCCAGAATTCTGCTTCTCTGAGTCCTTTCCTGTTGGCGGAGCAAAAACTGCATTAAAACTCTTAACAAAGTGACAATGGAAGCAAAGTAGTTTTACAGAAACTTGCTGGGGAATGAGGCTGCTGTATTTCAGTGCTCCCCTTCTCCCCCCCACCAGCATGCTCTCCCCATGGCCCTGCTGTTCTCTCTCCCGAGTCCCACCAGGCAGGGTGTAGGCTGAATGGAACTGATGAAATGTCTGGAATGTGGGTTGGGGTAAGAGTCAAACACTTTGTCTGACTCTCCCTGTGCACCGCAGATCCCTAGTAATGCCACATGCTTGAATGGGGTTGCACTGATCCTTATACACTAATAAGTGAGATCAGCTGTTGCTCCTCTGTGTTATTCCCCGCCCCTGTAACATAGGCCCACATGAGGATGCTTTGTAGGAAGAATGCAGTGGAAGTAAAATGGCCTTGTAAATTAGCTCCTTCTACCTTGGGAAATCTGGGAAAGCAGAGGACACTGCTCCTTCTAGGTACAGTGTGGGCGAGAGTATCATGGGCAGGTGCAAATGTGGGTGGAGCTGAGCTGTGCAGGATCAGTCCTATGTGCTGGTACAGTTGAATGCTCACTAGCCATCCCAGATTGGAGAGGTGTTAGTGGAGACTTGACTCAAGTCATCTCTTTCCCCACATCCCTGACCTTGAACACATACTGTGATGTCTCATTTAGAGGAGAATGAGTGGAGTTGGGAGGCCATTCACCTGCCTCCTGCTCTGGCACAGAAGTCAGGAATTCAACAAACTGGCAAATGTTAAGGGCAGACATGGGACTTGCATCTTTAAAACCGGTCGCTCTGCGAGTTCTGCACTTGCGTCCCATGCAACTGCTCTTTCTAGCTTGGCACTTCCTCATCAGTGTGAAATAACCTTGCTGCCAGGCAGTGCTCCTCAGAAGCCAGCAAAGCTGACATTGCTCGACAGTCATTTTTCCTATGCTGGTGTCATCACTGCATAATTCATTCTTTGCCGCCTTTGTGCTCCTATTTCATCTGTGTTTAAACTGTATAGGAGCCAGACAGTGGAAAAGTACCATCAACAGCTAGTGCTACAGAGAGTAAAAGTTGCACAAGAAATTGCCTCTTAAGATATTGCATCCTTCTACATCAAAAGGGAGCGATATTGCGCTTAGAACATTTTATCAGGTGGCCGGATCTCTCAGGCTGTCTTTCTCTACTGCTTTTGTACGTTTTGCTGTAAATGCATAATGATAGCACCACTCTTTTATTCCATAACTGCAGCAGGAAGGGATATCCCTTACCAATCTTCTCTTTTAAATTTGAAATGGAAACTATTGCAACATTGGGAACATAGTTTAATTTGCTGATTGTGCTGGCCTAATTCCAGTGGCGAAACTAATTACATTCTGTTGGCATAAAATTCCCTTTGTCGCTGATGGGGTTTTTTGTCACTTGCTGCTCCGATCGGTTGTGTCGTCTTGCTGCAGCCTTGCGATGCGCGTTTGATGCTAATGGAAACCTCCCTAAACGTGATTAAGCATCTCTACTTGAGCTGTGCTCACTGGTCAGACTTTATTCAGTGCTGGGCCCATTAGACAGCCTGTACTTTGCATTCAGTGGACGTATACGCCTGTCCACCCGTGCTTGGGTTGTAAACTAGATTTCATCCAGAAGGTGAAAAGTTTTGCTATGGGATGATTGAGTTTCCACAGTAAAGATCAGGTCATGTGACCTAATAACTTGGAACACCCCCTAAATGTAACATCTTGCAATATGATGTATTCAAGCGATCACACACGAGTGGCCAAATGGAAAGGACTGACACGTGAAATGGTGACGGACCTGACCCTCAGAGCTGTGCCTGCTGGGCTGAAGGGGCTTGCAGATACCGAACGCAAAAGCGTGGTGTCCCAGGGGAAACCTGTCCAATCCATCCACAAAATAATGCAGGGCCCTGGAGTGGCTAATTAAAGCAGTTTGTTCGCCTGCATTGGAGATGGATTAGACTGTTGCAGAGTCTTCTGGTGGTTGGAGAAGGAAAGTGTAGGAAACTCATTCACTGGTGTCATGAGAGTTGGCCAGAGCCTATTGCTTGTGCAGCCACTGTATTCAGTTAAATACTGAACAATGCTGTCCTTGGCATTAGCCCTGCCCTCCGTGGGCTGGAGCTGGACTCAGGGTTTTCTTTCAAAGTGCCTGAGCCTACCTGGTGGAAAGGGAGTGCCTGCATCCCCCATGTTAACCCTTTTCCTTCTAGCAGTGATGGTGCTGGCATCCATGTGCTGGGGGACTTTTAACATGCACCCTGGCGGGCAGGCCCTGTATTCTGTTTTGGGTTTTTTTCCATCTTACCTGAAAGGTGTTGCTTCTAGCAGGATGGTGCCTTGACCTCCTTACCTGCTTCTTTCTGCAGAGGAGGCTCTTCAAGTCAGATGCAGCTGGAAGAGCTGTGCCTCCTGGATCACAGCCTACCACTCCCTGAAGTCCTGGGGGTTTCCTTTTTGGTTTTCATCTGAGTGCAAGCCACGTATGCCTTTATCGGATTAAACATAAAACTGCAAACACTAGAAAGAATACAGACTCCTTACAACTTGTTGCCCTGGTATGATGCCTCCTTGTTCCTTTGGAAGGACAAGCCTCTTGTCTCTGCATGTAGCACAGATGCGCATGTGACATGCATAACTTCTAGCATGACCCTTTGCCTCACGTTCGGGTCTCATCTGCAATTTTGACCCCAGTATTGACAGCCAAATCAGCTTTTTCACACTTAGAAGTACATCTTTGTCTTCTAACTAAATACCATATGTGAACTGGCTGTGACATCCACTCCCTGTATCTTTTGGCTGCTGCTCACAATGAAGAACAAATAAGAATATTCCCCCACTTCCGAAGGGGAACATGCCTAAGACTCTCCCTGGTCATTAAGAGCTTCACTCTAAGGGTTGAGATTGGAGGGGGGTTCACCCCTATTCAGAGAGCCAGACTGAGTCTCTACTAGCGACATTATTCTCTCCATAGAGCCTGCAATGTTTATAGCCTTAATTTAAGTTAGGACTACTGGAAGGGCAGATTGCAGTGCACACACGGCAATAACTAACACCTACCGCAATAGCAGAGGAGGCACAAATGTTGGAATTGCCACATCCGGCACAATGCCTGGCCTAGCCTGACCTGTGACTAATCAGCTGCCTCTCAGCTGATGCTGTAAAGCCAGGGATCAGGTGACAGCTTGAAGATCACCTGGTTCTCATAAAAGCCAGTTGCTGGGAAGTCGCTGTCTTCCTCCTGCTAGAGTCCCTGAGCCAAGGGGAGAGGATCTTGTTTACTTGTGACATCTAGGCAGCTGGCCTGCATATCATAATCCTGGAGAGTGGAGACAGACCCTGCAGAAGACCTTGGGTCAGGTTGCAAGGCTGTGAACGATGGGAAAATATGTGGTGTGCTGCAGGAATAAAACCGAGTCCTTGAAGCCAATGGACTGAAATGGGGTGGCTGGAGGAGGGGATGCTTTGTGTACAGATCTGACTTCCTGGCAAAGAGCACAGCAGCGCTGATCAGCAATCAGCCTCTTCTGTTAACCACCAGAAGGGGTGAACTAACTTTTAAAGGCTAGTTTCCATAACTCCTGCATGGAGGACCTGTCTTGCTAACTCCAAGAAGGCTACGATTGGAGTATGCCTCATGGTACCTTGTCAATGGATTGGGAGGTTACAACACAAGTGGAGCATGCAGGCTGTCAAGTGTAGGCATCTTAATAGGCCACCCAGCTCCTTTGGCTAGAAGCTGGCACTCTGGCATGCAAATGCTTATTTAATGCACTTATCTGAGGCCCAAAGCTGGAAAGCACTGGGGCATGGGCTCACTGGCAAATGCTTCACTGCTGTCCTGGAAAAAGACACTTTTCTGAATGAAAGTTGGTGACCATCATGGCAA